GGGAAGGATTTGATAGATGGATAAAAATGCCAAATCCAGTCTAAACATCTGGCTGACTGTGCGACCAACCATAAAGATGATAGTGATGATGACAATGGACCTGTTCGCCCTGTTTTTCTCAATAACCAAGCAGGTGATAGTCTACACTTCCAGATGTGCTATATTTCAATTCCCACAATCCCACAACTCTTAGTCAAGGAATATGGAAGCCTTACACATCTGGAGGATGTGCAAACACAGGTTTAGGGGCTCGCCTTTGCAGAGATATCCACTGAATTCCCAAATTGGCACCCATGGGACTATTAAGTAGAACCTCCATTCTGCAACCAACATATTGCAACAGGATCTGATACCCACATATAGGTAGGCAATGATCAAAAGGGAAACATTTTCCGATTATAATCCTGCACTCATTTGATGGAGACGTACTTGAGCAGTTCTGGAGTCAGTCACTTCTTTATACAGGCTTATGTCGAGGTAATAGCCAGATTCATTGGTCAAGAACAGCCGGATTGGGATAGCCTTGCCACTGGGTGTGAGCTGAATGTTAATCTTCAGCTCAGCCTGCAGGACTCGGAGCTTCCACAGACGGCTGCCGTAGCGCATAACCATGCTCCGAACAGACTCTTCAATCTGAGCCACAATGGGGGGGAAAAATAGAGAGAGAGATGTGAGGATAAGGAGAGACCACACAAAGGTTGCAACATCCTTCACCCAGAAGATCAAGACCTCTTCTCTCTTCTTCTGGAGTTCAGGATATGGAATACTGGATTGAAGTTACAGAGAGGCAGATTCCAACTGAATGTTAGAAGCAGCTGTCCAAGAGTAAAAGCAATTTGACAAGGGAGTCAGAGAACCAGAGAGGTGGCGTGGCCCCTTTCTCCGCACATGTGCAAGCAGAGGCTGTCTGGCGCGCTTTAATCTGGATTCTTGGATGAAGCAGAGATTGTAATGAGTCACCTACATTTTCAGTGTAAGATTGTGCACGACCGTGGGTGTGCGTGCGTGTGTGTGTGCGTGCACTGGAGGGATGAGGGAATGTATAGCCTTGGGAGGAGTTCATACAAATCTATTTCCCCGTTCACCCAATCTTTTGATACTTTAATGTGGAGAGAAACATTAAGAGCCAAATTGTACGTGCGAAAATGGCATTCACGCCCTGTATTTCACTGCTGCCAGAGCACCTTAAATCAACACGGGGATTACCGCTCGGAGGCACGTTACTCTGCCATTTTATTAAACTTTCAAATATACTGCTGTTTGGTAAATAGTGCATATTAAAAGCAAGGGAATTGGAAGGCAGGGCTTAGGGTTCTCTCTCAAACTCGCGCCCCCTCTTCTCCCATGGCCCCTCCAGGAAACGCTTTCCGCAGTATCTAGAATTTGGCATTTAAGCAAACCCACTCAGAAGGGCAATTGTTATATTCCTTATTTATTTACTTAAAGCCTACTTTTTTGGGGGGGGAGGGTCCCACTTTTCAGCTGAAAAGGCTCCCCAGGGCACTGATAGGTACATTTCATTAAAATAACCCAGTCACCTGGATTGACAGGGGTAGCCATAGAAATTGCATCAATCAATCAATCAATCTTAGAGGTGTGGCACCAAAGAAAATATAAACGGGGGGAGGGAGGAAAGAAGCAACCTCAAGCCACAATTCTTAAATAAAATCCTGTTTTTCTTACAGAACAACCAGCTGGAGACATTTCAGAAAGAGGAAGAATTTTATATATATATATATATCAGGAAAAGGAACAGGAACAACCTCTCTGTTCTCATTTTCATTAGGAAATGAACCTAGACCCTTGGTTTATAATTCTCTTTGCATAACAACCACACTAAACTTTTGACATTGCCTAAGCTAGTGTTTTTCAACCTTGGCAGCTTTAAGATGTGTGGACTTCAACTCCCAGAATTCCCCA